CAAACCTTAATTGAATCTTAATCAAATCCTATGTCTTAGACAAACTTTAGTCAAGTTCTAAACCAAATCCTAAAAAAATCCTATTCTTAATCAAATCCTAATTAAATCATAGATCTTAAATAAAATCTTAACAAACCTTATAGTAAAACCGAACTTCAACAACTAATGATCAAATCATTGATATTTTTTAATGTTTTAATTAGAAACAAGCACAAGAAAGATGAAATCAATTGCACTCAGTAATTAAGAGAAATGCAAGATAATCCAATTAGGTGTTGGATAGCCTCCTGCTCTAACCTAAATGCTAAACTTTCAATGCCAATATCTTCTTTTTAAACCATTGAATTATTTTCAAATTTCATTCAAACATTCAAAATTAAATCTCATAGCTATATAGAAAAAAAATTCACTTTGATCCAATTGATAAATTGCTAAAGATCTTCAAAACAATCATTGATCTTCAAACTCTAATTTTTAAGATCACAATCTATAAAAATCCTCATATACTTCAATCTAATTGTTTGATTGATTCCAAAATTTGCGTGCACACTCAGAACTAGTGCGTCGATACACTGTTTAAATTTCACCTATATACACACCACAAAACTCAAGAAATCTACAAATTTATAAATATATTTTTGTTTCTCAAACCTTAATTCTACCAAAAATATTACTAACTTTGAAAATCCTTCAAAGTCTCAATATTGATTCAAAGGATATAAAAAGAATGCCTAAAAATTCCTTCTCAAGTTTTCCTTTAATATCCACTCTCCAAATTATAAAAGAACGTTGAAGTCACCATTGTTGTATTATAATTGTTTATAATATATAAAAATTAACTAAAACATATAATATATTTATAAGTGTTGATGTACATTAGAGTGGTTAATAGATTAATTTAAAGAGATTTGATGAAAAAAAATTATTTTGAGATTTATTTATGTTGATTATAGTGTTTAAATTATATAAGATTTAGATATTTAGTAAAAAATTAAAGGAGAGGTTGATGCTCAAAGATGAAGAATCAAACCTCTAAGAAACTTATTTGAAGGGATGAAAGTAAGGTATGGATGGATGAAGGTAAAAGGTAAAGATCTACATCCCTATTGGTCGAATGCCATGTCCAATAGGCATTCAACAAGCTATCCACGATGATAATAAGGATTTTTGGCAACTTCAAAAAGAGCATTTGAGAATCAAAAGAAAGGATTATAAGTTTTAGAATTTGGGCTATAATTTGTGCACAAATTTTAGAGGATTTGGAATTAAGGTGATGAAGTTATAGCCATTTAAAGTTAAGGTATCTTTTTAAGATACATTGTTACTATTTTGAAGATACAAGGAATTTTATGATAGATTTTGGAGATTAGGAGGTACAAATAGAAGGATTATTTCAAGATCTACATCTTTTATAAAAGAATTTTTGCATTTGAAATTTTTATGAAGAAGTTATATAGCATTGAAGACAACATATGTAATTCAAAGGCAATAAGTTAGTCGTTTTGTTGATAGTAATGGTTGGAGCTATATCTTTAGTTTTTGGACAAATTTTTGGCTCAAAATTTTCAAAAGTATGTGTTACTAGGTTAAAAAGTTATATTTTAAAATTTTATGGTATTTAAATACTTAATATGTGAAATATAAAGAAAATTACACACATGTGTATGTAAGCAAGGGTTTGAAGCTATTATTAGAATTTTGGTGATATCTCAAGATCCGTAACGAATTTGTAGTTGAAATTTATTGTGGTAGTTTTTAAAAGTACATCAGTACTTCATGTAACAATTTAGTTTGTGTAGACTGTCCAATCGTGAGATATGAGTTGTTGAAGTTAAGAAAAAATTCACCTTTAGGATATACAAGGTTTTATAATATTTTTATCACATTTTTTTGGAAATCTTTGGTACTTAAGGCTTATGTATTGATGTAATTGTCACTATAGAGACAATTTTATATATAAACTTGGTATTTTTTTAATCTTAAGGCTTGATTGAGCAATTAGTGATAGTTAGAAGCCCAACACTTTCTTAAGGCAAATTCTCTCTACCCTAATACCGTAGGTGTGCAGTTTTGTGCCTAAGGTTTTGATTTTGGCTATGGTTGACAATTAATCCTCTATGAATATCAATTCTTGTCGTTTTGAGGTAAATTTTGCTAAATTCTATTCTTAACTCCCTCCTACATATGCCTATAATATTTAATTTTTAAATATACTTGATTTTATCTTATTTATGGTCCTACAAAATAAGTAGAAGCCAATTTTGTTAAAAAGCAACATTGGCACTTTTTAATTTTACTATCTTTTTAACTATTATCTATATTTTAAAGATAATTTTCTATAATATTTTAAAATAAAAGCTTCTATACTATAATATTTTCTTTTCTTTTATTCATTAGCGATATGACATCACAACAATATTACATGTGTATTGTACAATATTACGTTATAATATAATTATTTGATAAAAAAAATGCATGAATTTCAATAATCTAGAAAGGCTTTATGAAAATTATAATAAAAAGTAATTTAAAAATAATATGTAGAAAATAGAAAATGAAAAATAAAAAATAATAAAACCAATTAAGTTTTTATTATGCATTTTATTAAAAGTATTTTTACTTACTTTATAGGGCCATAAACAAAGCAAAAAAAGTAGATTATCAAAAGTATCATTATTGAAACTTTAGGTGAACTTAAAGGATAATTTCTAAAAAAAATTAAGTAAAAAAATCTTAGATTTATATCTAAGGAGTATTAGTTGTAAAATAAAGTTAAAACTAGATTCCAAAATACAAAGTTATGTGCTTAGAATACATGCAATGATTTATATTTAATTAAAGAGTGAGATAAAAAAAGACTTGAAATAGATTCTATGAGAGTTAATGTTAACAAGTTATAGATTATAAGGACTTTGAGAGAGCTATGGAAATTTAAGATTAAATTTAGATGACTTTGGTTTTTAAGAAATAAAATGGAATTCATATTTTAATTTTTTATGTGAATTTTTAGTGAAAAAGAAGATAAATTTTAGTGAATTTGTTCAAATATTTTTTATTCAACAAATATTTTATAAGTTTGCTCAATTAGATCGTCAAATTAAGAGTTGTTGAAATTTAAGTGAGTCATAGTATCTAAAATTAGAAATTTAAGAATTAATAAGACTTTCTAAGATTTACAATAATCCACTTGTTAGATTGAGATAAAAATTATGGATTAGTAATTAACTTAAATGCCAACAATTACAAAAAAAACTAAACAAAGTGATAATTGAAGAGGAAGATATTAAAACTAATACCTCAATATTAAGATTAGAGAAGAAGACTTCCAACTCTTAAGCACAACTAGTGACTTTTTTTCAATTTCTAAGTAAAATACTTTTTAAATTTATTTTTCATTTTTTCAATCAAAATTTTGAAGATTTTGCAAAGCTTTAAGTGAAATCAATGATTGATTAAAAACTTATAGGAGAAAGTATTTTGATATTATATTTATTTAAAATCAATTAAAATTTAAAAGGATTTTGTTAAGATTTAGTTATGATTTTTTTACAATTTGGTTAGCATTTAATTAATACTTCTTTAGAATTTTATTAATAATCTTTTAAAGGTTTATTTTGGAAATTTACAAGGATTATTTAGGACTTTTTTGAAGATTGTTTAATGTTCAATTAAGATTGGTAGTGGCTTAAAGAGTGTTGGTAGAATCCATATTCATAAACTTAACACATAATCAATTGTCTTAAAGATAAATAATGGAAATATAAATGACCTTAAAAATTATCTAAATAAGATCATTTAGAAATAAGATTATTAATAGTAATGATGTAATTTAAAATAAATAAGAATAAAATAGATTGACTTGGGGATTTTAAGAAGGTCACAATTGCTCTGACAAGTATTTCTAAACATCTTAGGCATTTCTTTTTTATTACAAGAAAATTTTCAAGATAAGTTTAAATCCTTATAAAATAAGATATACATTGCATTCCCAAGGTAAATTTCACATATAACAACTATGTTACTACTTCACCCACAAAATTGATGTTACATCTCAACAATTTAGTGCTATTAAACTCACAAAAAATTCAATCACTCATGCCCAATCAAAACATAGAGTTACACCACCATTATGTGCATGAACAAGTTATAGCTGTCATCTAATACAATATGTTAGCTCCTAGCAACTCAAGCAGCACACTGCAGTCAACTCATGTCCTAGAAAAATACTTAAGGACTTAGAAAGGAGAAGAAGAAAAAATTTGACACTCCTCGAAGCATTGTGAAGCAAATTACGCCTCAAACTTACACAAAAAATTAGAGGAACAGCTGTAAAATATGTGCATGCAAAAACATCCTGTGTTAATGAGATGATTCCAGAGTTTATTAGCCATGTAATTTCAATCCACATCATACCCAGTGGTCAAATCCATCGACAACCCCGACGCTTCAGCGCCGACATATCTGCAGATTTCGCTATAGATGTAAGCGAAAAATATGCTCTAGTTTAACAGACCAAAAACCCTAAATCCTACCTATTCAGAGAGCAAAACCCAACCACAGCTAGTCTGAGGGAGTTAAACACACATGTCAACTCGCGTGCGACAGTCTTCAAGGCATTATTTGTACCAGCCAGTGCTCTCGAAAACTGGCCAACCTACACGAACAGCTCCTTCTTCCAGGAAGCAAAACATAAAAGTCCTCAACCCAGCTCAAAACAGATGCAGGATTACTGTACGCAAGATCCAACACAGCAAAATTCTGCAGTGCTCCACGGCGCAAGTGAAATCCGCAGTTGCAAACTCCGTCCCTTCGAAACCCACATTGCCAACTCGTATGATGGATGATATAAGAGGAGGGAATTGAATAAAGCAACGGATGAAAGTTGAGGAAAAGAGAATCGACAAATATGTTGGATGAATGAATAATGGATGAGATCGAACATATTTTTAGATCGACGGTGCGGGATTCGTCTCGCACCTTTAAGGGGCTCCAGTGTACCTAATCTCGTTCTTTTACTGCCATAGCCAGAACCGTGGAGTTTCTGCAGCTTTGTCTCCCGCGTCATCACTATCAGCGACAATGGTTGAGAAAGGCAAGAGCCGCAAGGACGAGGTGGTGACCCGCGAGTACACCATCAACCTCCACAAGCGTCTTCATGGCTGGTTAGTGTTTGCTTGCGATCGGAGTTATTTTTTGACTAGTTGTGTAGAACCCTAATTTTTTTTGATGTCGTGGGTTTGCTGAAATCAGTTTCGAATTGCGAAGGTTTTTTTTGCTTTCTTTTCAGCGGCATTGAAAAGTTATGAGGAATCGGTCTCGGTATCTTCCGTTGCGATAGGTTTAGGGTTTTAGGGTTTACAGTGTTCTTCGAACCCATTTAGGTCAGTGCTTGGGGATTTTTGTGTGTCTTCAGTTTTCTGTGCTGTGTCAATTTATTGGAGGATGATTTACACCAGTCGTAATCACCAGATCTTTCTGAATCAGTAGTCAGTTTTTGCAGTTACTCGACGATCTTGCTGCCTCTATGATATTTTTAATTAATTCTTAACAGCATCTCGTTGATGAGAAGTCCGCATCCGTAGTCTTTCATGGAGTATATTACTATGTAGTGTATTTATGTGGAAGAGGTGTTATCCTCAGATATTACATGTATTTTCATTAATTTGAAGGTCGTACGACTGTTTTTATACCTCAAGTGCAAGATGGATAATGTTCGTAATCATTAGTTTTGTTCACAATTCAAAATCCAGAATTCTCTGTCATGTGTAGGGTTAGTACCCAAATCCTTGTGATCGTTGATCTCAAGTATATTCATGATGCTTTTACTCCTGTTCATCGGTCTCTTCATTTAAACACTTGCTTTCCCTGTTACAACCGCAGCACTTTCAAGAAGATGGCCCCCAAGGCTGTGAAGGAGATTCGCAAGTTCGCCCAGAAAGCCATGGGGACCAGTGATGTTAGGTTGGATGTGAAGCTGAACAAACACATCTGGAGCAGAGGTGTGCGGAATGTGCCCACTAGAGTGCGTGTGCGGATCGCAAGGAAGCGCAACGATGATGAAGACGCCAAAGAAGAGCTTTACTCTTATGTCTCCGTCGCTGAGATCCCTCCCGAAGGGCTCCGCAACCTTGGCACGAAGATTGTAGAAGAAGAGGATTGAGTTTGATTATCTCCAAGAATTTTCGGTTTTTAAATACGAAAAGAGCGTTCACTGCTGTTTTCAGCACAGATGATGCTGAACGTCATTTCAGATGGGTTTAGTGCAGACCATGAATGGCTTCTATTGTCCCTCTTATTCATCTTACTTCATCGTTGGTTTATCACATGATTTGTCTTCTTTTGTGCTCTTTGTTTGCGCTTCGTTATTTTTAGTGGAAGTTGAAAACTAAGTTGTTTTCTTGGTTGTTTCGTCGTAGAAGTACTTCCTGATCTTACAATCTCCTTCCTCGTTGAAGCTGTCTACGGTACTTTGGTACAAATCTTTCCAGATGAGTTCTGAAATTAACCTCCAGATTATCGCTTTGAACTATTAGTGCGGTTTCTTACGTGGTTTTACTGTTCAGCCCAAATCTACCTTTAATTTGATTGCCATTCCCTCTGCTTAGCTTGAAATACTTATTACTTGTGGGTTTCGAAAGATTGTATGTTTTGCAGACAAAAGATTGTAATATCGTGCAGATCATGTTCATCTTTCTCTTTTCTTCCAATAGTAAGATGTTGACTTTAATACAAAAATGCAACCTACTTAATCTGAAAGCGTTGTAACTGTATACTATATTTTTGAGAAGGAATTACAATGTGTAACTAAATATAGCCAAACTATACTGACTTCGCTACTTATTACACCCTTATCACGTTTGCTGTGTGAAGAAGAAATAATATTGATTGATGGTACTTCCAAACTGATCAGCTCAATTCACCTCTCACTCTCTCCGTTTCTGTAGTATTTATGCGCTCATAATGACATGCACTCGGAAATTGTATAGAACGCATAATTTTACTGGCCTACTCGTCTCTGTGCTTCCACGTTGGATACTGTTAATATAATGGTGGTGTGCCATGTGTATTGACGGCAATGTGTCCAGTAAGGCTGAACAATCTGATTCCATAGTTAGTAATGCTTCAATTATTCATTCTTTCTCATAATTTACAGTTGTGATTACTTCCCAAGATTTTCTGTTGGCCTGAGCAAAACCTTTTTTCTATAAAGACCAAAATATGTATCTCAGATCGAAGTGTATATGTATTGCCCTCACCATCTTAATCTGAAAATCGATTTATAATCAGATTTGTATCGATAAATACGACCAGTACTCTTTCGTAGATATTACAGATGAGATATGAAGCATGTATTTCTTTAATCTTCAGATATCTACTATATGCAATCCACAATTGTAGCCGCTTTCACTTCAAACATTGATTTAGATATTAAAAATATTAAAATATTAATTATTATAATTTATCTAATTTACAGGAAAAGTGCACGAGTGTTTTTATAAAGGTTTTAAAAAGGCTGGTCAGAATTGTATTGGCTGGTATGGATGATTTAAACAATTGAACAAATACATGTCAAAAACATAACAATTATATATGTATGTGAACAATTTTATTTTTATGTCTTTCCATGTATGTCTTGGGTTAAGTTTCTTAACAAATTGATTCAACCTTGCCATGCAAACAGTCATTATTTTTAAAATTCAGAGCCACTTTATAAATAATAAGTTCATTTTGCATTTTTTATTTATTTAATGCACAATGTGTCAAAACCAAACACTTAAAATATTATTGTAGAATCTACTGTCAGTAAATTATAGTTATACCATTAAAACCCTCTTCATACTACTATAGAGGACCATGTGTCTTATATCTCAATGTAATGAAATTATGTGGTTGTTCACAAATCATTCATAATAGATTGCAACTTGTGGGCATATTATATCTTCAATTTAAAATATAAATAATAGATGTTTCCAATAAATAAAATATTTGTGCTATATAAATAGATTTGTTTTTGAAACTCACAAATATAAATTGTGCCTCAATGCCCAAATTTTGTAATTTTAAAAAAAGATATATATATATATATATATATATATTAATAAAAACTCAGATTTGGTTTTGTCATAAGATATTATATATATATATATATATATATATATATATATGTATATATATTTCTTGTGATCTACATCCCCAATTGATATTGCTACACCTCCATGACCTCCTCACAACATGAATTAATTAGAAAAGTGTGTATCTTATGCTTAGGGCATGTTTGGCAATTCAATATTTAATCCCAATAACAATACAAAAATAAAATAAATAAAGATTATTATTATTATTCTTTTTTGTGTTTTTGCAAGCCAAAAAAGAACAAACAAAGAAAAAGTTGTGATTTATTTTATTATACTATATTTTATGCAATTATTATGTTTGAAAAATAAAATAAAATTGCAACATGTTTTGCATAAAATATTCAATGTCTCTCCCTCAACAACCACCCTATTTAAAGCCAAGAAAGGAAAAAATCCCCCCCCCCCCCCCAAATAAAAAGGCATAGTGTTAGCTAGTTGTCTGCAAGGAGATCACCTTATACATAGATACATTGCCAATAAATATTATCCACTTCCTGCATTATTTGCAGGACCCTCTTGCATTAGTTGCCACTGACAGTTGACTAAAACATTTTGATTTTGATATGTTTTTGGTTTTTAATTAATCAGTTAAATAAACTTCAATAATGAGAAACTTAAACTTATTGGATAGTTATGGAGTTCCTATTATTATTTAAAGAACCCCTACAAATTTTAGTTGCAGAATGTCTATTCTTTAGTTCACACTTCTCTACTCGTATGTTGCCTATTATATTATATTCCAAAACAGGTACGTAAAGTCGAACTACAGATTACAAAAACGACGCATACGACAACATATTTCTACGACGGGAAATTCCAGAGGAATATGGGGATCCAAAATACGAAATTGGAAATCAGTCGGTGAGGAGTTCGAAAAGCCAGAAACGGCAAGGCAATCTTGCAATGCCACGTGTTGAGACGACCGGAAGTCAACCAAATACTTTCCACACAAAACACGAGGTCAGAAAAACTAACAGTTTCATCCACGAGGTTGTGATGGTGGGGCTGCGAAGAGCTTGGAGGAGTTTGAAAGACGCTTAAGTTGCTGTGCACTGGGGTGTAGTGGAACCATTCGAAGTGTTTTGCTCGCTCGAAATCGATTGCGGGCGATTATGGTGACATCTGGATGCTGATCGGTGATTGTTTTAGAAGATTCAGTTTGTTTGGTTGGGGTGTCGGTGGATTGCTTTGTGAGAAAGTGGTCGCGGCTCTGTTGCTGCATTTTAGAGAACGTGACTGTGTAGAGGGCACAAGGTAATGCACGAGAACTACTAGGTTATGGATTCGTGGAAGAGTTACTTTTAGTACCTGTGTACGTTTGTAAGGATCTGCAGTGTGATTTAAATTTTTTCTTTCGACGTTTGTGTAGTTGACTGTAGTACATTGTATAGTGGAGTGGTAATGGGAGGTGCCGTAAATGTCATTGAAGCTCTGGTCAGGACATAAACGCGGGACATTTTTTCCACAAAAGTAGACCAACAGTTCATTGCTTTAGAATTTGGTTACCAACAATATTAACCACTGCTTTACTTCAATTTTTTGTATGATCACGTTATGTTTTGAAATTTGGGGCTATTCACAGAATATGCAGCAGGAGGGGGGGAAATCCGGGTTCGCCTCGGTTTCATAGTAACATCTAAAGTCCTAATGCTCGATCGCGATTTTCACCCTTTACACCCTCTGGTATTGCCCACTTTACTTTCCGCTTCTCCTGGTTATTCTCCTCCTGGTCGAACTCCCCTTCGTCATTTCGTACTTAGAAATCTTAGGAAAACTGTACAAATGCTATTTTGTTGATCTGGAGCCAACAGCATTTGGAATGCATTTCTTGTATATCACACGGTGACAGACTATTATCTGCAACGACGTAAGACACGGCAACCTCGTATATTTTGCTTGACTATGTCTTCCACAGAAGAGATTTGTATGGTGTGGTTCCTTCAAAATTTTACAGTTTGTAATATAAACTGCTTTGATTTTAGGCTCATTACCAAGAGCTGGACCACCAACATGGCAAAGTGGTCCTCCTGGCCCTCAGTTTAGGCCATATGTTCCCGGCCAACATCCTGGACCCCCTAAAACCCTGGCAGATCGGTGTCTGAATTCCGTTTCTTCAGTACCAGTAAGACCTCCATTAGCTTACCGTCCAGGAGGTAACCCCGTGGGTTTTCAGCCATTCCAAACTGCACCTCTTGTCCCTGGTCCACCGCCTCCATTCTTTGCTAGGCCCCCGCCTCCAGGAGGTCCGCCCATGGCAGGTCCTCCTGGTGCTCGCCCACCTTCTTTATCTGCTTCTCCGAATTTCGCATCTGTAGGTTCAGCTGGTCATACAAACTCTCCGGGTAGTCCTCGGTTCCGACCCGGTGGTGGCGCTGGAAGACCCCATCAGGAATCAGGGTATGGTCCTCTGGCTAGCTTCCCTACTTATCCTGGCCCTCCACTACCGCCTGGAGCGTTGTCTCCACCTTCAAGCACTATGCCATTGTTTACTAGTCCATCGCAGGCTCCTCCTCCTTTGGGTTCTCGGTTTGGACAACCACCTCAGCCACTAGTATCGGCGGGACAACAATAATTCCATGCCGCAGTTACCAAAGTCTGCATCGACTATTCCTCAACCTCCTCAATTTTCTTCATTTAATCCTTAGTACGGAGCCCCTCCTCTATCACATGGATTCTACGGTGGACCACCTCCTCCGCCGATGCCAGGACAGTACAGTGATGGGCAAGCTGGCGCAAATAGCCACCCACCGTCAGCAGGCTCTTATGGTAAAAACTACCGTCAGGTACAAGGTTTAGTCGAAGATTTTCAATCGCTTGCTTTGGTACCTGTACTTGGATCATCAGACAGCACAGTAGACTCAGTCACACTTCCGAGGCCACTTTATTTTGCGGAGGAAGGGAAGCCAAGTGGGAACCTAAATTGTCATCCTCGATATTTACGTCATACAACCAATGCCATGCCAAATGCTCAGTATTTAGCGTCGCAATGGCATTTGCCCCCAGGAGTCGTTACTCACCCTCTCGCGGAGGCGCCACCTGGGGTACGCTACTGGAGCCTAAGCCCCCATTTAGTGATGAACGAGATTCCTGTTTCCATATGCTTTGTTTGCAACTTGCACTCGTGTTGTTGTATCGCATTTGTGATAAAGGCAGGTGTTCACTGGAACGGTACTGCCTCTAGTGATGTATGAGGACTGTAAAACATTTGCTAATTCGTTGCAAGGAACAGATTGTTATGTTTTTGTAAATTCATGCTTTCCTTCTCATGAGTTTTCTACTATCTTATGTTAGCTTTGACCTGTTTTCCTCCTGAAGAATGACATGTAGCGAATGGCAATATGACGTTGGTCGAAAGTTTCACGAGTTTTGCTGCAGGAGGAAGTTACAGTGTTGAATTTTGAGGGATCCATAGTGAGATGTCAACGGTGTCGAACGTACATAAATGCTTATGTGATGTTCACAGATGGGGGGCGTCGGTGGCGTTGCAACGTATGTGCAATGCTAAACGAAGGTGGGTTTGAAGCAATTAACGATGTCATTAGTTTGGAGGCGGGTGGCCAGGAGGATAATTTATTCTATCGAACTGCCGGTGGATTGTTTTGTCCGCTTTGTTCAAGGTGTGTTTCATTGTAGAAATTCTCTCAATGTCTTCCGCGTATGCTTACATGTCCACTGAAGGTAGTGAACTTGTATTCAATTCCCATGGAGTATTTTTGTCCTCTGGATGAGAACGGACGGTGGCGAGATGCAGACCAAAGGCCAGAGCTTTCTCGTGGTAGTGTGGAGTTTGTCGCTCCAACTGTGTATATGGTGCGGCCACCGATGCCGCCCTTGTACTTCTTCCTCATCGATGTCTCCTTGTCTGCTGTGAAGTCTGGGATGGTCAAGGTAAACGGTCCCATGATCTTTAGTCCATTACTAAGAGTGCTGTTTTTAGACTAAACTTGTGATGGTCACAAGTAATGTCAATGAAATTCTCTTACACATTGGAGGTTTCTGTAGCACCTTCTGTGGAAATCTTACGAATAATTAAATCCTGTGGATTCAAAGCATGCAAAGTGTATTGAACCATATTTTTTTCTCATTGGCAAAGGTTGCTGCAGAGACAATCAAAGCATCACTGGACAAGCTACCAGGGTTTCCTAGGACACAGATTGGGTTTGTGACCTTTGTCAGCACTCTGCACTCCTATAATCTCAAGGTGAGTACTGAAAATCGCTCTTCAAGGTCATTGTAGTTACTCTCTTATTGTCTTGTGTATGTATACAACCGGGAAATGGTTTTTTATGGTATGACATTCTGTTGATTCTATGCAATGTCCTCATTTTACATAATAAACATGGAATATGTATGGATTTTTTTGTATCAAACGTGCACATATGATGTTAATTGGAGGTCACTTTGCCTCTATGCTGAAACCTTGCTTAACTCCTTACGTTAACCTAGTCACATAGTTTCATGTTAGAATTGTGAATTCTAGTTTGCAGAGGGTTTTATTTTGATATCTAAACTCTTATTACAATCTAACGACTGTTATCCGGTGGTCGCAGTCTTCATTGACACAACCGCAAATGTTAGTCATTGCGGACCTTGATGATCCTTTCTTACCACTTCCCGATGATATGCTGGTAAATTTGTCAGAGTCTAGGACCGTTGTGAACGTCCTTCTTGATAGCCTGCCTTTAATGTTTGAAAACAATATCAACGTCGAGTCGGCTCTTGGGCCTGCCCTAAAGGCAACTTTCATGGTCATGGTACGTTCAATTACCAATTGCTGGTTAGCCGTTGATGTTGCACATGATGGCTGTTTTGTTCCGGAGTATCCAGATGCGCCTTATTCATTATGTCCTGTGCAAGGTTATCGTTTTTTTTTTTTTTTTTTTTTTTTTTTTTTTGTATTTTTGTAATTTTTTTCCATATTTTACTCGAGCCCTCGCCGATTTTTAATTGTGCATCTTGCTTTGGAATCGGTTCTGCAGAGTCAGCTGGGAGGTAAATTGCTCCTTTTCCAGAGTACCTTGCCATCTCTTGGTCTTGGGAGGCTGAAGCTTCGTGGCGACGACCCTCGCATTTATGGAACCGAGAAAGAGCACTTTCTTCGTAACACAGGAGAGCAGTTCTACAAACAAATGAGTGCTGATTTTTCAAAGTTTCAAATCTCTGTTAATGTTTATGCTTTTGGTGAACGGTACATAGATATAGCTTCTTTAGGTGAGTCCTCGCAATATACATATTTAGAACTCGTTCCTGTTTTACGTACTGGTTCTATTGGTCATTTGTATATCAATCCAAGAAAGGAAGGGACGGTCCGGAATTCAGAGAAGTTAACACTCTTAAAATTGTAAAATGCAGCTGATGTAGGAGCTACTGCTTGTCTGATGAGCAGACTTGGTGAGTTTGTACGCTTTACTCTTGGCTACTGTTAAAATCATAGGTTTAAGACGAAGAGGGGGATTCACGAAATAGTTCAATTTCAACCTTTAGTCCTTTGTTCCCCTGTGACCTCGAGCGAGGAGAGGGGTGGCTTTTCTGACGTGAATCTCAATATGTTTTAAGTTTGATCATATCTGATACTTAGGCTGTTGCATGTGTTGTTTCTGTCTTGGAAACGCTGGTTTTATGAGGCGTATGCTCGTGACACCTTGTGACATCATCATGTTCATGCACGGCTATGTTACAGCGATGATTTAAATCATGTTCTTTTTCTGATTACAGCAATCTTCTCTCTCTCTCTCTCGTCATATATATATATATATATATATATATACACACACATACAGGAGAAGTCCTTTGACTATACCTGAGCTACTTTCCTGTGCTGGTTGGACTGGGTTTGTTTTGACATATTCATGGAATCCTAGTAACATGGTCGCATGTTGTGTGTGTCTTGTATTTTTCTCAGGGCCCGAAAGCTGATGGACTTGCGGGATTTCCTGATCCTCTGGCACTCTCTTCGGAAAATCTCGATCCACGTGGAGCGTTTCTGTTGAATGATGGGTTGCGATTTGTGTTATGGTTAGGGAAGGAATTCGTGAAAGATCTGCTCGGGCCCGAGGCTGCATTTGCTGCCGATTCCTCCAAGGTTGTTCCTCTTCTCTATCTTTATTGTGTTGAAGTACAATTGTCTTTAGTCCTAGAGTCAGCAGTAACGCTCAGGCCTGTTCGCCAAGTATTGTTCAGAGTGCAATTTGGTCATATGCCGTGGATTATCACCTGCTGCGGGAATGTAGTAATTTGGATGAGTTCAGTTACTATTAATATGCTCCTAGTAATTGAGTAGGCTGAGACAATGTTCCGCCTGTAAAGTTTTGATTTTTTTTGCCCTTTTTAATGAGAGCCATAAAGTTGGTTTATCTTAACAATGTTTCTGCTACTGGCTTTGTACGCAGATTATTGTAGTGGAACAGAATTTTGTAATCTCTAAACGATTAGTGTCAGCTTTGCAATCACTCCGACAAAGTTGCCCGGCCGTATATCAACTTTGCACTGCAGTGAAACAAGGGGTGCAACCAAGGGAAGGAACTTCTGTGCTGTCTAATTTAGTTGAGGATCGAACTGCTGGGACTAGCGGATATGCCGACTTTGTTGTCCAGATTTATCGCCAGGTTTCTCAGAAATCGTAGAAGGTTATTGGCCAAATCTTTTATCATAACTAAGGACTAGGTCTATATTCCAACGATTGTCTCTACTTTATTTCTCACATCAATTTGTATTATCCAGTATATGTAGAATGTGAATTACTAGATTGATAATCATTGGTTGACAGGAAAGTCGAGGTGCTTCCTAGCGTAGTTCTATCCTTTAATCTGGTAGGCTGGATCCCTTGCAACAAGGTAGTGTTCTATTTTTTCTAGATACGGACTATCTCAGAATACGATTAGCTTCTCGCAACTCTGATTTAACTAGTCACCACTGCATAGTTGTAGATGCATTTGCTAAAGGATATGTGGATGTCTAGGCATTAGTTGATCCAATCACTTGAGCGAGCTCTTGCTGACCATGATTTCGTTATGTCCTTACGTACATATTGGTCAATTCCTTGAGGTGCTTTTTGTAGCGGCAGATTTCAATAAAAGATCGATTCGAAGTGACTGGAAGGTTGTATTGAAGAGATGGTTTCTATGTTATTCAAGTGGAAATTGATTGCTGTCAAGTAATCTAGTTGAAGACGAATGAAAATACGTGCAATCCGCTCGTAATCGCAACTTAAATACTGCATAATAACCAATTCTGCCTACGCTAGACGTGTAGGGTTGGGGATAAGGAATGGATTGTTTTTATTAGAATCTGGATCCCAGCAGGGATGGCTAGCACGGATGATGCGCATGGCTTCTACACAATCTCTATCATCGGCAGATAAGCAGTCCGCAAGCAGCGAGATCTTCACGAGAACCCTTCTAGATAATTACCATGCCCTCCAATTATACCTGGCATCTCGCAACTTAGATAGAGCCAGCCATGATCCTGTGTTTTCTTTCAGGTTTTTACTCCATCAAGGGGTTTTAAATAAGGCTCAGTCTCTGAGGAGGTACTCTGGATATTTGAGTTGGCTGATTTAAAACCAACCACCGGTTATCCCATCACTGCCCCACAAAACCTTGAAGTACTCTCTGCAGCTTTTTTAGCGCAAAAGTAGTCAACGAGTCGGAGGAAGTAAACTTCGGTGGGTTGGAAGTGTTGGAGGATGGAGGGCGGAAGGCTGGACTCCAACTGACACCAGAATCTCCACATCCGTAGTTTACAATGATGAGCTCCTTTGTGGATACAACACTTTCCTAGATATGAAAGCTGATGGGTAGTCGATGGGAGGTATTGCGGCAATGAAAATGAGACAAACTGTACGTACGTTGTGATATCATGCAGGCTATCTTCACGCATCGGGAGCCAAGTGCGAATAGATGCACATCGATGCCATTCCCAGTGGATGGTCCAGAAGGCGCTGCTGCAGTGTATCCCACCCACGCTTCACCTAGATTTGCAATTAATAAAAAAAACCAGGCATAGATGCATATCTTGATGACGTAGAACCTGGCCTTGTATATCTATATTGAAATTGCTTTTGGGGTAGCAGTAGTAGTAGTATTCGATTGATCTGGTAATTGAGATGTTGTTCTGGTTGTCGTTGTTGTTGTTTCGATGCGCTTTCATGAATCAATGCATCAGGACTGCTGGCTGTGGAGAATCAGTACCTAGACCGGGCTTTTACCGGGATTGTTATCGTCTATCCATCCATCCCGGTATATACCTGCCCTGCCCGTCCTTCTGCCCCATCCTGCCCAGAAAATGTGGACAAGGCCAATACTGCCCAGAAAACTGTACCCGCTGCCCGTTGCTAACCTGGCTAACCGTGGACCGTAACCCAGGCTGCTGCCTACTAGAATTAGGGTTGTTATAATTGAAGTATAATAATATATATTATTATAGAAATAAAGATATATTTAATATATATTTTCGTATATTATAATTTTTATAATATTTTTATTGATTATTATATTTTATAATTTATATAATTAAACTTATATATCCATATATTTTTAGGTTTAGGCTACAAGCACACCACAAGTTGATACACACACTCTCTAAATTGCTATGTGCAAACTTAAGGCCTCTAATTTACTATTTTGTAACCTCCTCTATTTAATTCTGGTGCAAGTCCCAAACCTCCTCTAGCACTTCTTAGTCTAGGCAAAAAATTCCAGATTTTCTTCCCCTCTTCCTAGACTTGGCACAAGTCAAAGTCTCAATGTGATTTTCAGCTCCCCTCCTTAGTCTTGACACAAATCCCAGCTTTGGCGTTGTTCCAAATCCTTGTCCTCCTCCTTGTTCCTAGCTCCCTTCCTAATATTGTCCCCTAATCCCCTGCAATTGTTAGTCAATTTGGCAAACTAGCCAACTAGAGATTTTTATTTTTTTGGGTGAGCATATAACAATTTGAGGTGTGTGTATAGCAACTTGGGATGTGTTTGTAGTCTGAGCCATATTTCTAAATTTATATCTACTATAAATTATATTATTTTTAACTATAAGATATAGTATAACATACTATAAGTTGTAGATTTTGGTTTTTATTATATGATTTATAATATAATTTATTATAACATAAAATTTATATGTGTATATTTTATATAATAAATCATGTAGAATAAAAAAGATTTGAATATATTGATAAGATAATCTTAAATGAATTTCTTATATATATTTTATATTAAATTTAAAAAATTAAAAATACTTTATGCACTAAACTTGTATAAAAAAGCTAAAAATTATTAAAAAATTATTTATTTTTATTAGAAAATATAGTTTTTAATATAATAAAATTAAGTATACATAATGTTTTTTAATAAAACATATTTAATTTTCTAGCATATAAAGTTTTTTTTAATTTCTTTTTGCATGTAAATATCCATGATTTTATTTTATTTTTAATAAAGAGCTTGGATTATCTATTCTAGATTTGAAAATTATATTTGGATGGATAGAATTAGTAGCACAATGAAACTTAGGAACTGTGCTTCATCATAAATTTTATGAAGAATCGTTGCAAAGCTTTGTATCATATTTGAGTTTTCTCTTTTATATACTTATACGATTTATTGTGTATTTCATCATATCTCTCTCAATTGCTTCTATATCAAACTCCCTTATAAATTCTCTTGATATTTTTTAAACTTCTGTTTTTCTCTTTATTTTTTATTATTTTTTATTACTTTTTCTACTTCTTCATTTTTTATTATTATTCTCACCATTATCAAAATCACTAAACCTCTCTTCATTACAACACAATTTCATGGTTTATAATTCTCTATGTTTTCTACTATAGTACGTTGACAAGATTCAAATTTGAATTCTAAAGAGTAATTAGATAAGTAATGAAGCAAACCAATAATTTTATAATTGTACAAATCACCTTGTATAGCACATTCAGAAGAACAACATGCATAATCTAAAAAAAATAATTAGGAGTTACATACCAATATTGGCGGTTTAGAAAATATTGAGATTTCACCTTCCAAGGATCATGCAATGAAATTGGTTGCACAGCATCCTTGTAAAAATACTTTAAGCTTTCAGAAAACTTGCCACCACAATTTCATCCACATTTTTGGTTGACAACAAAACCATTGTAGTCTTGATTCTCCAAATATATGGTACATGTCAGAATAATAATTGTTAAATTCTACACTAACCAATTTATTCCTCTTCCAAATGATTTTCTTGTATAATTGCAAAATCACTCCTTCGATCTACCATAGTAAGCTTCAATACTATCATTAATAACTTAATTTGCACAAAAAAGGTGTTGCAATTCCACTAAACAATGATTTGTCATAACAAATTATGACTTTTGAGATAAATTGGAAATTTGCAAGAAATCCAAAAAGTCTAAAATCAGTTACTTTTCAAGATTTTAAACAAGATTCATAAAACCCAAAAATAAATTCAAGATTTTTAACAAAACTTAAAATTCTTAAAATCTACTATGTTCTTAGCTTTTTTGAATAAAAATAATCTTAGAATATATAACGTTACCAATTTTTATTAAATGAAATAAAAATCCTAATACCTACTAAATATTTAGAAATAAAATAGCAGAAAAGTCCAATATCTATCACATTCTTAAATAGTCTTAAATAGTCTAAAATAGGAATAATTATAAAATCTATCATTATTTAGATTTGATTTTTTTAATGAAATATTTAATAATTATTGCATTTTATCTTTTTAAAAATTGCAAAATCTTAGATATACTACTTTCTTAGATTTGTATACATATATCTATGCCATTGACCTTTTATTTTTGTTGGTTTTTGTAGTATTTATTATCACTAAGACACAAAACAGTATCTCCACCTAGTTTTCTGTCGTTAGCCCAATTCTACAGCCATACTTTCTTATATTTTTCTAACACGTGTACAGAATTATGACCGTTTTGTAATTTAGTGATTATCCAATTTTTTAATTGCGTAGATATATGCAGGCATACTTGTTCTTCCAATAGACTCAATATCTATAATACAATGGACAACCTTGCTATTTTCTGTAGTATGACTACTATTATAGTAAATTATTTCAGCAATATTTGAATATAAAGTTAATAAAAAAATAAAAAATATACCTAAAGACAAACTCTTTCCTTAGTCTATGGATTATTATGATTGTTTTAATGATCCTATGGATCAAATGCACATTTATATCAATACAATAAGTAAATAGAATTTTTTAAAATATAACTGTAAAATTAATGATTGCATATTTTTTAAAATCATTAATACAAGAGAAATATATTCATATATATATATATATATATATGAATATATCATACTTGAACCAATGTTAAATTTAATTGAGATCTTGTAATATTTGGATTTTCCTTGACAATGGTATGAATTATTTAAAAACATCCAATTTATCTTCTGTCACTTGTCCTTTTAAAAAGTATTAAATTTTCTTCAAAAGTATATACACAATCATGATTTTTACAACTAAAATGTGCTTGAATTTTTCTGAATCTTTTGCAAAAAATAAAAATAAAAATAAAACAAACTATTGTAACATACAAGAACAATTTTTTATTTTTTATTTTTACATTCATTTTTTTTATTGCTCTTAGAGAATTACTAAAAATAAATTATGGGAAATTATATTAACTTTAAATTAAAAATTAAAAAACACATATTAAAAAAACTAATGTTAAACTATGATATAAATAATAATTAATAAAATTAATTGAAGTACTTTTTGTAGTGGTAATTGTTAATTTCTTGCATTCTTTAATGCTTGTTTACTTATCAGACCATTTTCTAACTAAGATAATATCTAGCTTTTAAACTCTAATGGTATTTGTAAGACAATGTTTTAATTTCTTTTATTTGTCGAGTAAATGTTTATAAATTTATAATTGATCTTATAATATTTTCTACATAATATAATAATAAATAACCTCTATAATTTTAAGATATAATAATAATTTTCCAATTATAGATCTAAAAATACATCTTATTTATAAATCTATTTATTATTTAACTTGTTTTGAGTAAATTCTTTGTCACAATCTTTGAAACCATATGAACAGTAGTATGTAAGTATTTATGAATGTATGGTTCTTTAAAACTCCATTAAATATAAAATAATATGAAAATAAGAAGTCTGTTCTTTTTTATAACAGAAAAAATATGAGGAAATTAAAAACCTTAAATTTAAATCAAAGAAAAATTTAAGAATTAACAACTTATATATGATTCTTTTGGTGGTGATGTTTTAAATATTCTATTCAAACACAAATCTATCTTTCTATCACCTGTCTTGCAAAATAACCATGGTTATTTCTTATAGAATATAGACAATTATAACTTCCACAACAGTAGATAAGTCTTTATTTTGTCTAATACCTTTAGTTCAAAGCAAGCTATTTTAACCAATACATCCAAATAATTGGATGTATTACTTAATATCTTATATACAATTTTTTTTAAACATTTTCGTTTTTATTCAAAAAATCTATTTTACATATTTTTTTCCAATAATTATTTTTGTAGAAAACCAATAAACACAAAGATAAAACCAAGAAAATAAAAGAATATTTTAATCTATAAGAATGTCTATTTTTTATAAATATTTTATATTTTGGTATCTAAACATATGACATTTTTGTAATTTTAATCTATAGAGATAAAACATTAAATTGATATAAAATTATTTATACTACATCCCCAATTGATATTGCTACATCCTACATGACCTCATTGTAGACAATTAGCTAATAATTTGTCTCTTTCTTTTGTGCATTTTTTCCTCTTTTTTTTTTTTGCTTTAAAAAATAAATTGGCTAATGTTCTTTGATTCAACTGAATTATTTTAATAATAATATCCCCCCTCCCCTTGTAATTATTGTAAGTGTTAATTAAGCTCTACACAACAACACAAGGAGCCCAAAATAGTAGTCAAGCTGCAATTGATAGCCAAGTAGAGAACATTAGCTAATATATTTCTTAAAGGGGAGAATGGAAAAAATGTGCAAAAGAAGATGCATTTTATTAGCTAGTTGTCTAAAAGGAGGTCACATAGGGCGTAGCAATATCAATTGGAGATGTAGTGTTAATGATTTTCTATTGATGTTGTAACAAATAAATGAAGGTTAACTATTCATAAAAAAATATAAACAAAAATCCTCTTAAATTTATATACATGTATACAACCAAAAGTGACCATAAAGCATTGGTAAGATTATCAAAGTTATAAAGTTATCACTAAACACATTTAATAATATTTGAAAAGCTTTGATGAATTAATGGGTGTATATTTATGAAAATGTGTCTTTGTTTGTAATAAGTAGGGGCAGACAACTTAAGGGCTGTAGTAATTTGGTAATATTGGAGTCAAATGTTTAGGTGACTAAAGCTCCTACTCTAGCATCCATGATAGATAGGGAATTTATTTGTAGCACACCTCTTTCAACAAGAAAATCAATAAGTCACGGTGGATAGAAACCCTTGCCCTCCATGCCTATCCCTTTTTGATTGCTTTATGTTAAGTTATTTCAAGTTCAATGCACTTGCTTCCATCCTTGCAAACTCCTTATTTCTCCTCCTACTCCAACTATGAGAAAAATGACCTTGTAAGTGTTGACAATACATTCTTATCAGTTATCAGAAAAAATGTTAGAGGATATGTTAAAATATTTTTATTTTTATTAATGATTTTTAGGTTGGTTGTAATTATTGCCAAGTTATTGTACTTTCTAGGAGTTCTTAGAACATTGCATCAAATACATATCTCAATGTCTCAAAAATACAATGCTCAAATAAATGTACAAGAATTAATACGTCAAAAGTTCCAGAATCGACTCCCACAACGAATTCAATGAAAGAAAAAGAAAGGAGAAGAAAGAAATGTAATCCCTATTCCCACCATGTAAAATTATAGGATAAGCATGAAAATCTTACACTCAGTAAGCAGAAATCCAATAAAAAGTTACACACGCTTCTGACACTTCTTCATGATCCTCTGAAACTGAACACAGAGGGAATGAGTAAAACCAAAAAAAAAAAAAAAAAAAAAAAAAATCAGAAAATAAGCGAAGAGAAGGGTTAAGAAAATGGGTGTGAGAATGCATGCAAATTGCCTAAACGCCGCAATATGCTTCTCATTTTTTTTTTTTTTTTTTTTTTTTTTTTTTTTCTGTTTTATTAGTTGTCGATGCGGGGGCAGGATTGCCAAGAAAAGTCTCGGCGGTAATGACAATGTGCTTCCAAAGCATAAACCCTGCAACGCTGGCTTGAGAATTGGTGCATTGATCGAAGCTTAGTGCGCGGCGAGAGAGGTGCCGTGGGATTCACCATTGGAGGTGGATTGTGGAGCTGGAGCGAGGTTGAGGTTGTTGCTCTAGCGGAGATGGGTACGCAGGAGAAGCCGGTGGCTATCGTCACAGGATCCAACACTGGCATCGGAAAGTGAGTTTGTGAACTGGGTGGCTTGATTTTGAGATGTAGGTGGGGTTGTTGCGGTTGCTGGCAGGCATTGGTTTCGAGAAGTTGGAGCAGATGCTTTGTTCTTTCGTTGAATTGCTCAAGGTTTAGAGGATTCTAGAATTCGGATTGAGTGGAGTTTTTTATCCGAGTGATGTGGGTTGGTTGCTCATGAAGCGGGAGGTCTCTTTTATTTATTTCTTTCTTTCTTTTCTTGTAGCCGTGATTCTCGAAGGGAGTTCTCGCAGTGCCATTTCAGCAGCAGGTCTCTAGGTTTATGAGAAGTTTGTGAGTGAACGCGAGGGTTTGTGTGGTGATAGTTTGTGTTCAAGAACTTTTATGTGGGCTGAAATTCTTTTCCCTCTAACAGGTTTTGACCCCTTCAGTTTTGGAATTCCATTGTGTATGTGCGGGAATTTTTTTAAAGAATTTCTCAGCGTTCTGTGTAATTTACTTGCTTGCTCGAGCTCCACATGCATGTGTGTGTGTGCGTGTTTATATATATATATATATATATATATATATAGATTCATTCTTGTGGCTTGTTGTCTGTGATAGAGAAACTGCTCTTTCTCTCGCCAAAGATGGGATGAAAGTGTTCATAGCTAGTCGGAATGTTGACAAGGGCCGAGAAGCTGCGTCTTATATCCGTGAGGTGCATAACAGTCTTCACCTCGTTTCTGTGGTTTCGTTTCTTCAAATTTCTTTTTCCAGGTTATTCAATCTATTGACGTCTAGTGCTGCCAAGAAGCCAGATGTTTAGTCCTTGGGGAAAAGCAATCTGTGAGCATCCCAACTCTTGTGCTTCATCCAGTGACTAAATGGGACGTGTTCCATTCATGTAATGGTCTTGCAGTCATGTCCAGGAGCCGATGTGGATGTTCTGTTACTGGATTTGAGCACATTGGAATCTGTGCGAAATTGTGCGACACAGTTTAAATCTCGCAATCTTCCTTTGAAGTTACTGGCAAGTTATTTGAACCTGTGACACCATACTTTGTGTAAACATTGAGTTTTTCGAGGTTTATACATCTGCTTTGGCTTACTCCTGTTATTTTGACTGTATTGTGCCGGTAAACAGTGTTGATGAGGAAGAGATTATTTGGAATACAGGTCAACAATGCCGCAGCCAATTCCTCAGAGCCCTGGTACACACCTGAAGGTGTGGGTCGCTTATGCATGGTCAATTACCTCGGTCATTATGTCTTAACCCGTCTGTTGGAGGACAGCTTGGTGGCAGGCGCACCCTCAAGGGTACAGCTTTTCAAACTTCCACGAATCAATCCACGCTTATGTAGGATTTCGTTTTCTCCTTGAAGAGGTTGTAGTGTGGTTCAAGCTTTTCACAATATTCAATGTACCGTCTGGTTGTTCCTTCTAGTCCAAATTTTAACCTTACAATTGTGTGTATGGATAGGTGGTCAACGTGAGCTCTATAATGAGTCGGTATGCCAGATTATCTAAACCGGTGTGTACTGTGCTCCTTCCTAGTAGAGCTTCTGTCAAGTACAGATCCTCTTTGTACCAAAATCCTTTCTAAAATTACCGTCGTGTTTTATTTAATTTTTCCCAAGACTACACACAGAATTGTTGACGACAGACGTCAGTAATTATTCTTTGTGATGTGGTTAATCAGGAGAAATTTCTCAAAGAGTTCGATTGTGGTAAATATTCAGCGACGAAGCTTGCAAACATTCTGTTTAGTTTTGAATTGCAACGGCGATGGCAAGGTGCGTAAAGACGTTTCGCATACCATATTTCGAGTTGCTCATTCTCATCTTTGACTCGGCGCTGTCTACATCCTCGGTTCATTCAAATAATATGAAAGCCTCTATATTGAATTGAAAATGTACTAATGGTAGTTTTTTTGATGGATTATGGGATGTTATCAGGTAAAGGGATCCAAGCATGCGCAGTTGATCCAGGTGAATATCCAACTCATATTCATCGCGAAGTTTTCAGTGATGTATGAAGAGCCCAAAAATCTGTGTCCTCGTTTCCTTTGCTCTAGTCATTCAGCACGAGGGATGGTGATATGTAGATATTTCCCTGATAGTTGAAGTGAGGTCTTTTCGAAGCCAGTTACAGGTGATGCGATGAGATACAGTCACTGGGCTGAGAGACTGATCGTGGGGTTTCATTTCAAACAGGAGCTGTCTCTAGTGACATATGGAGGAACAGTGTATTTAATAAACCGCCTCTCTCATGGGCTTTGAAGGTACAAATGCATTGCCCTCTCATTACAACCGCCTCAACTTCACACTGGAAATTGGCATTGGCTGCATCCCAAGTTTCATGAAATTAACAAACCTCTATGGGTGGCAGGTGGCGTTTGCTCCGGCATCGGATGGAGCCGTACCTGTACACCATGCTGCTACTACACCTTTGAAAACTGAACCAGGCACAACACCGCTCCGGCTCTTTGCCCGGGGAGGGTTCACTTGGTGGGGGGTGTGTAATTCACCCACTTTTGCATTTTCCCTGTTTCACTTGTCTCAATGCATTACAATCTCAACCAGAGCTGCCAGGTTGATAGCAACTGGCACATAGTTCCTGTATGGTGAAATGCTTTTAGTTGGTTTCTGTGTGGTAATGCATGCCACTTATTGTATGAATACTAAATGAATTCTTACATGGCTGACTGCAGGTGACGAGCCCTAACTCTATACCGCTGCTTGGATTGCTTGCAGCAACGTTCGACTGGCCCATTCGGTGCCTCTCAAAGGGTGCCTTCTTCAGCAAAGTTGTGGAAGTGTCAGCAGCCCGACAAGCTTACGATGAGAAGGTGGCATCCAATATGTGGAGCCTCTCTGCAAGCATTGCAGGACTGCCTGATTAGAGGAAAAAAATGCTTAGGACCAGCACAATAGAAGATGAATTTATGCAAAGCTCAAGCTCTTTTGGCAAAGGAGAAATTGCTTGCTACTTTGGGAAGGAAT